ATCCACACGCCCCCACAAGCAGCTGCATGGCAGGAGCGGGTACAACCAATCAGGGTGCGAAAGGGGTATCTAAAATATGCTCACGGCAGGTTCGCGTCCCACAGATTTCGGCGTCGGTTGCTGACTCTGTGGGTGTAGTTCAACCTTGAACGATCGGCCGCTTCCGAAACGTAAGATCGTTCTATACCAACCGATTCTGGGCCACTGGCGGCGTTCAACCTTGAACGCCGGCGGCGGGTTGTCGCCAGTCGACACGACGCGAACCTACCGTATATCGACGGTGGGATCAGGCCTAAACAATTGCAAGCACGCATACAAGACATCTGCGCAGAGAGCCACACATAATATCACATGTGATGAGCTGCATCGGGGACACGTTGGTGATTAGGTGCTCCTGGTCATGAAAGTGTTGAAGCGGTGATGGGGTTGACCACAAGACTCCCGTCGCCCATGGTGAAAGGCAAGGCGGGCAGTTTGCACCATCGGAGGCCGACATCGATCTCCTCCTCCTCCTCCTCCTCCTCCTCCTCCTCCTCCTCCTCCTCCTCCTCCTCCGCCATCGGTATGCGCGCCAGGGCCGCACGAGCTGCGCGCAGCCAGACCCGCAGCACCGTGGCCGATATCGGTCACGCGTGGGCCGCCGTGGCACGGGCCCTCCGCCAGCGCCTGCGAGCACGTGCGCGCGGCAAGAGGAGATTCAACGCCGGCGGCAACGGGAGGTGCCGACAGCAAGGAACAAGAGGGACTGGGCCCCCTCCTGGGCCCCAGATGTGGCCGAAATCGGCGCGGCCACCCCAGCGCCGACGACAACGCCCCGAAGACAACGAAGGTCAGCAGGCATGCTCGCTAGCGCCCACACTCGGGGGCGCGTCCAGGACGCCACTGCACTCCCGGAGGGCTCCAGCAGACGCACATGGTGAGAGCCAGGGCGCGGATGAGGCTGACGATGAGGACGATAAGCGAGGATGAGTGCATGGATGCGCATCAGGAAGGAAACGCCCTTTACCACGCGCAGGTGGCTCTGGCACAGTGGCTTGCAACCCTGTCGCAGGAAACCTGGCACCGCTGGTTTAGTGCGATTCACTGAAGAACAGAAACTGGCATCAGCATAACCTTGTAGAGGTCCGCGCAGATTTCTTGGATCCGCTCTGGACCTCCCTCCCTGGCGCGCAGAGCGCGCCAGGAACGGCGCCAGAGGCGCCGCAAGGGGGGGCCAGCGCCGATCCGAGGAATCTGCGCGGAGCTTTGAAAGTTTGTCTACGCCTGTCTTTCTTCTTCGATGGACTGATGCAGAGCGATCGCGGCATGTGCGCCCGCGTGCCCTAGCGCGTAAAACAACACCCCTGGGAGCGGCAGGAAAAGCGTGCCGGGCACCACGGCGCCGCTCATCTCAAAACGAGTGGGCATGCCACACCCCTCCCACCTCCTCCTTATCCTGCTCATTCCTCTCCTTCTCCTTCCTTTTCCTTCTAAATAACTCATCCCTGTCGCACCCCCAGACGTGTTGGTAGGGCGGGCCGGGCCGGACGTTTCGATTGTGCCCTCCTCGCAAAGTGTGATCCTGAAACTAGACATGTGCAATAATTTCACGGATGAAGGGCGGGCAGTTTTCAATATGGCTCTCGCCGTAGCGCCGTGCACACTCGTATTTGCAACAGCCTCACCGATGGAGGGCGGGCGGTTTATGAAAATGTGGCTCTCGCCTTAGCGCCGCGCACATTCGTTCTTTGTAATATTGCAACAATTTTGAGGATAGAGGGCGGTTCCTTTTCAACATGGGACTCTCGCCTGAGCGCCGCACGCACTCGTTCTTGAAGTTCGCAGCAGCTTCAAGGAAGGACGGAAGGCGGTTCCTTTTCAACATGTGCCTCTCTCCTAAGTGCCTCGCATATTCGTCTGGCACGTTTGCAGCAGCTTCAAGGAGTTGTACGGTCGAAGTCCTAGGACTGGTATTTGGCACGAGTAAAAATTGGCCAGAGGCAACATTAGCGTTGATTCGCGGTGTTGAAGTCCCAGGAATGGTGCGCGGTCACGTTGTAGGATTCTCAGGACGTAACAGTCACGATGGTCTGTGGCGTTGAAGTCCCAAGGACGGTGTCTTGGCACGATTTCGGATTGACACAGGGTTGTCGTCTAACGGGCCACTTCCCGCAATGAACATGTTTTTTAGGGACCTACGAATATGGTCTTTTGAGGAAGGGCTTCTTGCAACATCGTTGATGCGTCTTGGTTGTGCGCCGGTCCTCTTCCTCCTCCTCCTCCTCCTCCTCCTCCTCTCCCTCCTCCTTCTCCTTCCCCTCCTCCTCCTCCTCCTCCTCCTCCTCCTCCTCCTCCTCCTCCTCCCTCCTCCCTCCTCCCTCATCCGCCTCCCTCCCGCCCTCCCTCCCTCCCTCTCTCCCTTCTTTGCATCCGCCTCCGCATCCTGCTTCCCCTACTCCTTCCTCCTCCTCCTCCTCCTCCTCCTCCACCTCCTCCAGTATTACTATTATTATTATCATTATTATTATTGTTATTATTATTATTATTATGATTAGTATTATTCTTATTCTTATTATTATTCTTCTTATTATTATTAGTACTATTATTAGTATTATTATCAGTATTAGTATTATTATTAGTATTATTATTATTACTATTCCTAGCATCATGATTCTTATTATTATTCCTCCTCCTCCTCCTCCTCCTCCTCCCCCTCCTCCTCCTCCTCCTCCGCCTTCTCCTCCCCATCATGATCATTCTTCCCCTCTTGCGCCTCCTCACCCTCCTCCCCATCTTCTCCCCACCCGCCATCCAACGCTCCACCTGGCCGGAGGCACCACAATAGTGCAGCGATCTCGCTGAAAAGATCCTCTTCTGTGCGTGGCTCGATGCTGCACGCGATGCCCCTCGGGCCGTGAGGCGGCCACCAAATACTGCGCGCGATGCCCTCAGGCCATGAGCCTGCGGTCTGAAAACTGAGAGGAGGGGAAGGGGGAGAGGGAGGAGGAGACAAGCAGGAGGTCCCGGAGGACAGAAGGGGCGTAGGAAACAAGAAGGAGACAGAGAGTCGACCCGCACAGTGGGGAAATCGACAGAGGAGGGGGCAAAGGAGGAGGAGGAGGACGAGGAGGAGGAGGTTTCTGAAGGTCTCCAGAGGTCCCTGGAGGTCCTGGTGGTCTTCGATGGTCACCAGAGGTAGCGGATGTCTCCGAAGGCTTCCTGAGGTCTTCGGTGGTTTCCCGGGTGACTCCGCAGGGGGGATGAGGGAGGATGAGGAGGGATGGGGGAGGATGAGGGAGGAGAAGAGCGAGGATGGAGGAAAGAGGTGAGCGGAAAAGTTTCAACATCGTGCGAAATCGCGACCCGAGCCCTGGACCCCATTTGTCTGCAGCACTCTTCGAGCCCGATCGATGTGTGATGGTCTCAGGGCCCGGATTTCGGGCGGTGTGACAAACGTTGCATCGCCCAAATCTCAATGGAGAAGGGCGGAGGATCGGCGACTCCGAAGGGTAGGGTAGGGTTTGACAACACTTTGGGAGGCAACCTGGGGGGCGGGAGGGGACCTCGATAGAGTTCTCCGACGGGCCCCGAGGCGACCAGACAAGGACAGTGCCGCGCCCTCCAGGCCCGAACGCGCCGATCGCCAGCGGCATTCCTCGAGCCAGATCCCGAAGGACCTCACCGCACGGTCCGCCACCGCCTGTTTTCGAGACCCTGGAGGCCCCGGTCGCCCGAGACGCCCTCGGAGGAAGGACCCGAGTCCCAGAACCGCGCGGTAACCTTAGGTCGGGCCTGTCCCCCTACAGGGGCATTTTCGACGAAAAATAAATTATCCCGGCAAAGCAACCTAACAGCGATGTGCAGAAGCATATCTGAAAGCGTTCCCCTTAAGATTCAGATGAAAATCCAGTTGTAGAATTCTGCTGTTCTCGCAGTCGTAGTCGCATTCGCGATGACAGTCGCAGCGGCAACGGCAGTCGCAGTCACAGCCTCAGCCTCAGCCTGCCTCAGCCTCAGCCTCAGCCTGCCTCAGCCTCAGCCTGCCTCAGCCTCAGCCTCAGCCTCAGTCTGCCTTCAGCCTCGGCCTCAGCCTCAGCCTGCCTCAGCCTCAGCCTGCATCAGCCTCAGCCTCAGCCTCAGCCTGCCTCAGCATCAGCCTGCCTCAGCCTCAGCCTCAGCCTGCCTCAGCCTCAGCCTCAGTCTGCTTCAGCCTCAGCCTCAGTCTGCCTTCAGCCTCGGCCTCAGCCTCAGCCTGCCTCAGCCTCAGCCTGCCTCGGCCGCAGCATCAGCCTGCCTCAGCATTCAAAATGTGGCCCAGGAACGGAGTTCTGGGAACTAGAAGAACACGAAGTGGCCTACAGTTGGCTCCGGGCATTCAAAATGTGGCCCGGGAATGGAGTTCTGGGAATTTGAAGAGCACGAAGTGGCCTACAATTGGCTCTGGGCATTCAGAATGTGGCCCGGGAATGGAGTTCTGGGAGGTCGAAGAGCACGAAGTGTGTGACTGTTTGCGAAAAACGAATGCGGCGGCAGCCGCGGCGGCAGCCTGTCCGGGTCCCGCCCAGACCCCCCTGAGGAGTCATGATGCTCTCTTTTGAGACCACTAGAAACCTATCAGCAAGAGCTGTTAAGTAAAAACGCCCCAAAAATGCCCCCCAAAGGCCAAAACATACTCCAAAAATAGTCCCCAAACTATTTTTGGGGCATTTTTGAACTATTTTGGGGGTATTTTTCTTATTTCTCGTCGAACAATCCCCCCTGTAGGGGGACATGCCCGACTTAACGGTAACCCCGAACCCCCACCGACTCTACACACGGCGTGGTCACCACACCGCTCGGGAGCCTCCGATGGGGAGGGAGGAGCGGCTCGGGAACAGGAGGAGGAGGAGGAGGAGGAGGAGGAGGAGGAGGAGGAGGAGGAGGAGAGGAGGAGGGGGAGGAGGAGGGAGGAGGAGGAGGGGGAGGAGGAGGAGGGAGGAAGGAGGAGGAGGAGGAGGAGGAGGAGGAGGAGGAGGAGGAGGAGGAGGAGGAGGAGGAGGAGGAGCGGCTCGGGAGCAGGGCCGGGGCGCTCCAGGAGGGCGGCCGCCGAGGTCGCCGCGAGCGCGCCCAGGCGGGGCGCGGCGCACGGCCGGCGGGGGCGCCGGCTCGGCACGAGGGCTCGGGGCGCTCTGCTGCTCCCGGGCGCCGCGGGGAAGTCAAACAGCGGCTCAGGATGGAAAGCCAGTGCAGGGGAAGGGGTCGAGACCTCGGGGGATCGGCGTCACGAACAAAGCGTGGCGCCTGGGAGCTGGGACCCACTTCTGCCCCTGTCTCTGCTCCTCCTGCCACTGGCCCTCCTCTGCCCTCCTCTCCTCCTGCTCCTCCTACCTCTCCCATTTTCCTCCCTCGCTCCCCTCGCTCCTCTCCTCCCTCCCCTCCCTCCCTCCCTCCCTCCTCCCTCCCTCCTCTTCCTCCCTCCTCCTCCTCTCCCTCCTCCTCTCCTCCTCCTCCTCCTCCTCCTCCCCTCCTCCTCCTCCCCCTCCTCCCCCTCCTCCTCCTCCCCCTCCTCCTCCCCCTCCTCCTCCTCCTCCTCCTCCTTCTCCTCCTCCTCCTCCTCCTCCTTCTCCTCCTCCCCATCCTTTTCCATGTCCTCCTCCCCCCTCATCACCGCCATCCTCCGCCCTCCCCCCTCCTCGTTCTCCCTCCCCCCCTACCTGCTCCCTCACCCTCCCCCCTCCCCCCTCAGGGCCCCTCGTCCTGCCAAAGCGTTCCCGGGACGCCGCCGGCTCAGCTCGCGCCTGGCTCGCCTGCCCGCGCACCAGGGCAGCGCCCTCGCCTCGGAGTCGCCGTCGTCTCTGCCGCCGCCGTCGCCGACGACACCATGGCCCTCGTGGATGCCGTGGCCGTGGTCGTGGTCGCGAGGAGGGGAGAGCGGGACGGGCAGAGCGAGGAGAGGGAAAAGGGGAAGGAGGGAGAGCAGGACGCGGAGGGCGGGGAGGGGGGGAGGGAGAGCGAGGAGCGGAAAAACGGAGGGGCAGAGCAGGACGGGGGCGGGTGGAGGAAAGAGAGCGGCGGAGGCAGCAGAGGCAGGGAAAGAACCAACGAGCAGTCATCGCCGCAGAGGGCGATCCAAAGATGGGCGACAGGCACCCGCGAGCACGATGGGCCTTCGGAAAGGGGACCTAGGGACAAATCCAGCAAAAGGAGGGAGGAGAAGGGCGAGGGAGGGAGGGGAGGGTCGAGAGAGCAGCGAAAAAAGGGGAGGGACGCCCGACTCTGTGCGCCCGAAGGGGAAGACGACGAGGAGGAGAAGAAGCGAGGACGTCAAGGAGGAAAACGAGAACCCTCCCTCCCCTTTTCCTCCTTTTCCTCCTCTTCCTCCTCCTCCTCCTGTGGTGCCTGCTTTTCTAATTCGCCTCACACCCTGGAGCTGCCTTTTGTTTCCTCCCTTTCGGCGAAGGCCACGAGGGAAGGTCAGGGCATCAGTAGAGAGACGGATCTGCCCGTTGAATTTGCAAGGTTTCAAGTGTTCGGGGGAAGAGAAAGAGGGGCACACGTCACCTGGGGGGGCGTGATCTGTCACATATGGAGGGCAGCACGCGCGGCGCTGCGGGCCTGGTACAACTGGGAGTCGGTAGCGATAACCGCTGAGCCCTGGCGGGGCCGAAGTTTGTGGTAACTATGAAAAGTCAAAACTAGGGCCCGATGGGCCCGCTGCCATCCGACCCCCCCCGTCCGCGAAGTCCCGAGGATCCCCCAACCCCAAACGCATCAGAGGCTCAGGAGGAGGAGGGGGTCCGAGGAGGTCGGTGGCGGCCCAGAGCCTCGGGCACAAGAGGTAGCGCGGAAAGGCGTCAGGGCGATCAACGCATCAGAACTTGCACGCGCTCTGGGAGAGGATCTTAACTCTCCCGCTGGCGATCCAGGCGCAAGCCAACGACTTGATGTGAGGCCAGGCGTGAGACGGCGGAACTCTGCTGAGATGGGCCTTGAGACGCTGCCATCGGTGACAGAGGATGGGAGCAGGAGGGCAGGGGCTCCCAGGAAACTAGGAGCGGAATCGTCGATCGACGAGCGCAGGCATGCCACCAGGTAGCATAGTGGAGCGAAGAGAAGCAGAGAAGAGAGCTTGCCACGCAACCGGCTTGCGACGACGTCTCCTCTCCTGCGCGCGAGCCAGCGCGAACGCAGGAGCTTGCCCGATGACCGAGAAAGCGAAAAAGAGCGGGGGAGACGACTGGACAGGAGGAGCGGCAACTTCAGCCGAGATGGGGGCGACCGAAGAGGGAGGCGTCAGGGGTGGGATCAAAGAGCGAAGCATATCGCTGTGCAGTGCTGAATCGTGCACGCCAACACGGAGCACACCAGCGGCCTCGGAGCGCCTGAACTGCGGGCGCCTCCGCGAAGGCTTTAGCGCGAAGCTTCGACCAACAATCCCCCCGCCCTCTGAACGTCCGACCCGCCGCCCTCCAAATCACAACGATGTTCATGACTCGCAGCGGCTCGGGCATGCGGAGCAACTGGGGAGACAACAGCTCCGCGAGAGAGAAATTAGATGGCGGCAGGCGCAAGGAGTTCGCGCGGCGCGAGCAACTCTTTCTGGAGAAGGGTCCAAGGGAGAAAGCAGAACTGGCAGAGGTAGGAGAGACAGGGGATAATGAGGATGCTATAGAGCCGCAGGTACGCCTGCGCAGGCGCACGGGTCGCCGCTGCCGCGCGGCCGCGTGGCCGCAATTTCTGGCCACTCGCAAGGAATTGATATGCCTCCGCGGCGCCTGGGCCGAGCATGAAGCCAAGGTGTCGACAAGAGCTGCAGACTGTGAACTCCGCCCACGCGGGACGAGCGAACGAATCGTTGCACGCAGGGCTTCGATCTCCGCTGGGTCCAAAATCGCCCACGCGGGAACCAGGCAGCACATCTTCGGCTGAAACTCAAGCATCGCCAACTCCGCCGCTGCCCGACAGGGCGGCTCGATGAGAGGAAGGAGCGAGAGAGAGGGAAGAGAGACACCGACGTCGTCAGCACACGCGCCAGCAGCTGCGGTGAGAGCATGAGAGGGGAACACCTGGCTAATGCGCTCACCTGTCGATCCCCTGGGGGGCGCAGCCGAGGCCATCACCTCCAATGCGACCTCGCGCGATTGCGCTAGGTGGCGGCCCAGCGGGTCCATTCCCAAAGCCCACGAAGTGCCAAGCAGAGAGCATCCCTGTGGGACACCACGGGAAATCTCAAAAAGACGGACCCGCTGTGAACCCACGTTTAATGCCCGACCGATCCCTCGTGCAGTGCTTCCAGCGCATTGAGGCAGCCTTGGGGGGAGTCCGAACCTACGAAGCACCTCGCGGAGCCATTGTTGAGACATGCTCGGGAAAACAGCTCGGACATCAACAGGCAACGAAACGCGGCCGCCGTTCACTGGCATCGTCGCCCAAACTGGTCAGCCTAGTTCCAGCGTCGAGATGTATCGCGTGACTCCCCAAATTGCGACCTCCAATGAAGCCTTGTTGGGCCCTATGGACACGTTCTTTGGCTACTGTAGTCAGGTGTGTGCCGACGGTTTGGGCGAGAGCTTTACTGCCGATATTCTTTAAAGTTAATGGCCTGAGCGAGGCCGCATCGCGGATGCAGTCAGTGAGATCTTCACCTTTCGGGATGAAAGCAAAATTCGACGGGTTCAAACCTTCGACAGGGCCCCCGCCTGAAAATAGTCACAACAGCACATCGTAGAGGATCTAAGAAGCTACTGGCACGGCTTCCCACGCGGCGCACGGCAAAGGATCGGGGCCAGGGGAGGAGGCCCCTCCTCGGCGCAAAGCTCTGACAAGGTCCTCTGGAGTAGGGAGAGGAAGGTGAAGTGGTGAAAAGGAGGGAAGGTGCTGATCCAGAAATTCAGAAATAGCCTGGTCGCTGCCAGAGGCAGCTGCGAAGACGGGCTCTCAGTGCTCGCGGATCGCATTGGACGCGTCGGTTGGGCTCCTGATGATCGCGCCGTCTGCCGGCTGATCATGCTCGAGGCCATCCAAGACGAGCCGACGCTGCGTCGGGTTCCAAGCCAGCGCCTGCCGCATACTTGCGACCTGGACCTCGACCATCTCTGGAACGCCAGTTGGACAGTCATCACCTTGTGGTTGCTTTCGGCGACGGCGTCCAGCGCGAGCTTCGCGCTGTCCGATCGCGTCGACGCGGAGGCTGGTTGCAGCCCATCGCATGGTTCCTGAAGGCCCCCCATCAGTGATGTAGACGACGCGGCTGTCCGCGAAGGCCGAGTAGCGACGAGCGAAAGCAGAGGAGCCATGAAGACGATGGGCAAGCCACGCGTCTTGGCGCCAGACAGCTCGAGCCGCTATGCGAAGCACCAAGCGCTCCGTCTCGAGCTGGCCCACATCGGTCTGGGTAAGAGAAGGGGGGCAATCTGGATTTGGGAAACGCGCTTCGCTTCCCCTTCCGCACGCGCCACGAGCAGGTTGAGCGCCGCCAGTTGGAAGACCCCGTTGCAGCTGACCTCTGGTGAGACCGGCCGCCATGCGCATCAGAACCTTGATCTTCTGCCACCGCTGCTGCGCATCAAGGTCATCCAAGCCGGCGCAGTCAACGCGCGTCTGAAGAATCGCCTTGAACCTCACACTGCGGAACAAGTAAGTCGGGATACTCTGCAGCTCAGCAGGTGGGGGGCGCCGAGGCAGAAGATGCAGAACGACGATGGCGTGGTCCGAAAGCGCGATGTCACTCAACTTGTCGGCCCCCCGCTGGACGTTGATCGAGATGTCGCAATCCGTCGCGCAGTGCGTGCTCAGCGAGATGAAGAAGCGACTGACGGTGCCAAGCGCGCGAGGATCTGCCGAAGTGGGTCGGCAGGGGGCTCTCGATCTCCAGCATGCCACCACCGAAGAGATCTCCAGTGCGGCTCTGACTGAGTGGCCCTGCTATCTTGCGAACACCGCGCTTGCCGTTGACAAGGGAGAAGGAGCGATTGATTCGCGTGATTGCTCGCGTTGAAGTCGCCAGCATGGATCGCCAGCCTTCGTCAGCTCGCCCTGTCGCGCCCGATCAAGATTCCGCGTCCAAGCCTGACGGACCACCGCCCGAGCAGTCAAGTCGATGCCGTAGTTGTGGTGGTTGATGACCCTGATCACGCGGCCGTCGCCGCTGGTGATCTCGAGCATGCGAATCCGTCCAGGGACGAGAACGGCGCGAGAGAACTGTGGCTGAAGGTGAACAGGGAGCTGCCGTGCATGAGAAGGACCACGCAACCGTGCGATGATAGCAACTCCACCAGTGCGGAAGCCAACTTCATCCGAGGCAGGCTCGCCGTCAGCCAGCGCATGAGCAGCAGGGTCCTGCGGGCGCGGTGCAGCATGCTCGGTGGGGAAGCCGCTGTAGAAGACAGGGTAGTGCACAGGCCGCTGGTCCAGTAACGCGGTGAGCGTCATCTCGTTGCCGTGTGCTTCTTGAGCCAGAATCAGGTGTCGCTGTTGGAGGATGTGCTTGATCTCGTTGAGCTTCTGACGTCGCAGCTTGCGGCTCAAGCAGCAGAGTCCGCGAGCGCTCCACGAAGCAACCCGTAGACCACGCCGGTCTCCACCGTTGATCTCCTAGGGCTGGAACCGCTTGCTAGGATAAAATGCATGCTGAAGTGTCCACGCTCTGGAGCTGTCGCTTGAACTGCGTGCTCACGCCCTGGAAGTCAATGTTGTGCTCTGCCACCACCTGCGGAGACCATGCCAATCGAGTCGGCTCGCCCACTCCCTGAGGCGAGATCTCCACGACTGGCGTCGCGTTGACGCTGATGATGCCCCTGGACCTGAGGAGCTTCCAGTCCTTGTCCTGGTAGGTGCGCTGCAAGATGCCGAGCATGCCCTTCCCATGAACTTCGCGCCGCACCTGCTTCGGGCTCTTGTCAGGGTTGACGTACAAGGCCTCCTGTGCTCCCGTGGCGCTATTGGCCGTGAAGGGTCGCCAGCTGCCACCTGGAAATTGAAGGCGTTGCGCGAGGCGAACCGCTCGGGCGACGCCAGCAGTGCCACCTGGGAGATGAAGATGAAAGAGCTTGCTCGGAGAATCACCATGAAGAGCACATTGACTGGACTCCAGGCCCGCGTCCTTGACCAAATCGGCGATGGCCACCTCGATCTCGCTGAAGGCGGTGGGCTGAGAGCAACCGATGCGGAAGACGCTCGGGTCGGCGGGGCGGTCGTAGGTGGCGAGCC